GAAAGCATTTCAGTTTGCTGTGTCATTCCATTCATATTTATATATTAGATATATTTACATATTTAGAAGGTTTGACTAAACTATAACAACAGATGATAAAATACTTTCTCTTAGTCCTGTTTCATTTAAATTTTTTTTCTCCCTTTTTTTATAAATCTGCCATTGTACTTGATTACTGTGCGTTTTATGCATTCAACTCTTTGCTGTCTCATCTGATCTATTTAAATGCATACCAAATGCAGCTTTACAAATTTTACTCAGATGAATTGCTCCTTGGAATTGTGTTCCACACACACACACACACACACACGTATATATTATGAATTCTGTCTGAAAAGTAACAGGACTGGTGTCACAAACAATTTATTTAAATTCCAACAACAAACTACATGGTTTGCTCTTCAAAGTAATCCCTTCTCAAGTTTAATGCACTTTTCAATCCTTCTCTGCCACACTTCTATGTACTACTTAAAGTATTCTTTTGGATGCCCCTCAACTCTGTTGTTATGACTCTCTTGATGACTTCCATGCTTTCAAAATGAGTCCCCTTGATGATCCCTTTGAGCTTGGGGAAAAGAAAAAAATGTCACATAGAGCAAGATCAGATGAATAGAGTGGTTGTTCCACTATGGTGAAGTTCTTCTCGGCCAGCATGTTCAAGGCATTGTGAGCAGTTGCATTGTCATGGTGAAGCAGCCATAATTTGTCCTGACACAAAAGCATGTGAAAAAACAAATGCAATGGTTGTAGAAAGCTAATATTACAGTTATATAATCCCAAGATATCATGTCAGATGATATCACAATCTGCTTATTCCTCTTAGCTCACAGCTCCTGCAACGCACCCGATTTCCATTACTTTTCAGACAGACCTTGTACATATCTATATGCACAGATACGCAACAATGTGGCATGTTATTTGGAACTTTATTTCAGTGTTAAATTTAATTTTTATCTCTTAGAATTAATATCTGTGAGTAATTACTTCTGTCTTGATTTCAAATACCAATTGTGACTGGTCTTGCTTTCTTCAATGTACATTTATCATGGAGAGAAACCAAACACATTTATTCCAAATTGACAGCTTTCTGTAAATGATAGTGTCTTAGCATACCTATGGATGATAATGAGTATGTCCCCCATTCATATAAATACAGTAGTAAATACTGTATGTTGGTCTGCAGTTTGGAGATTCATTGTGGAATTCGCTTGACTCGCTTTTAGCAGTTGACTACTACTTCAACACACCACAGGCGAATCTTATATGTGTTGCTCTTGTCTTAAGTATTATCGATCATTACCCACCTTCGTTTGATTATTCCTTCCCTAGGTTACAACAGATAGGGTTTTTGATGCCATAGATGGGATGACACCTTATGTTTGTCATTCTTCCAACATTGATAAAATGTTTAAAGGTTGACAAACCATAAAAAGAAGACAAATCAATCAAATAAGATGCTTGATAATGAACATGTTACAATCCATGTTGGAGATTCATGTCAGAAAATCATTTTTTCTGGAAAGTTTTGAGGACAATAAAATAAAACACAGACTTTTGGTGATAAATACATTTAAAGAAAAAGAATGTAGATAAATTGTATTTTTCAGTTTATGAGTCAAATTTTACTGTATTTGCGTGTGTGTGTATGTGGTTATTTTTTTTTATTTTTATTTTTTTTCTGAATTTTAGAACAAATTAAGTCTGTCATTTCACATTGTTCAATTTTTTTTTTAATCATTTCCCCTCAAGTCAGGAGATAGAGTAGTCCCTTACATTTTAGTGACACTGAGAGTAAAAAAAAAACAAAAGAATGAGGTGAAAAGACAATTAAAAAAAACAAAAAAAAAAAACAGGATTCATGAAGACAGAAGATGGCAATTGATGTTGTACTTAAATTTTTGAAGATCCTAGATAACAGGGAATCAAGAAACAAGAAAAAAGTTCCACAGGTGAGAAGTGCGAGAAAAGGAGCTATTAAAATAGAACTGACAGTTGCATATCACTATTTCAAGAGTAAAACGATGAGACCAAGTTGCCAATCTAGTACTACGCTTAAATTCATGCACTCAAGGAATGCTAATTATAACAATTACCATGAAAATATGTATAGAAATAATAGGGGAGAGGGGGGAAACTGTTAAGGCAGTGGGGAAAGTGACTGAAGTTGAGATGTCTGGACCAATATCATTAGAGACCCTTGTTTTGACCTCTTGCTATAAAGTTTTATCATTAGACTGGAGATGACGAATCTTATTCATTAGTAGCAAATAAATGACTTTTATCATTTCCCCTGTAAAAAAAAAACCCTTTGGTCATGGACTTGTTACCATATAGTCAGTTAGACTTTAAAAGCAACCACAAAAACTCTTGAATATTATGATTTGTCAAGCTCATGTCCACTTGATCTAAATATCAGGTGTTTTGATTTTAATAAACTTTCTATCTTTCTAGATATGTTGAATTTCTTTTGAGTGGTATTTCCCTTTCTCAGAGCCTTTGTGAAGAGTCAGTGGCAGCATTAAGCCAAGAAGCTGAAGACTATTTTTAGAAATAAAATACAACTTCCCAAAATGATAATTAATTCTTTAATTTTAGTAAGGTAATGAGTAGAACCCATAGAAATTCCATATCCCATGTTTGCAATTTCGAGAATAGAATCTATAGAAATTCTCTTTCTTTCATTTTACATAAAAAAATAAAAAAAAATATCTTTATTCTAAAATGTTATTCCTTTAATGAAAAAAAATGAAGATATGTGTACAGTGTGGGTCTGTTCTGGAATTTTGCTGATGTCACAAATTTATGTGCTGTCATCACACATGTGAAGCCATTTTAACAGGAGATAATGAGGGAGATAACTTGTTTTTGTTTTGTTTTTCTAAATAGAACAGAACACTTAGAAATTTTATTGAAAAAAATTTGTTTGCTTTCTTAATTATTTTTTCTAACAATGTAATTAAATTCAGAATAAAATATTTTATTAAAAACAAAACAAAACTTCTCATTTAAGCCATCTCCTGAAATTGCTTTGTGCATAACAACATATAAATTGGGGATGTGACATTGTAGAAGAGACCCAAACTGTAAATATGTACCAAAAGATCTAAAATAACTGAATATTGGAGATCTGTTCACAATGATCCAATCATTTCAACAAAAAGTAGCCTACCTAGGGTAAATGACACCTTAGTCCACTTCAAAGTATTTCCCCCTTCGGACATCTGAAACTTCTCAACATCTATTCACTTTTTTAAAAAAGTCTGTAAAAAAACCTCTTTAGGGGATTGTCCACAGCTGCTTCATGGCTTGTCTTTGGTTTAAAATTTCCCTCCTTTCAATGAACCCCCCCCTTTTAATTACAGTTTTAAATTTGAGACAGAAATTAGAAATCACAAGGAGCCAAATCTAGATTGTAAGAAATGCTGACAGATTTGGATGATATGATGAGGTCTTTTATCAAAAGACCCAATCTGAAATATGGAGAGCATGCTCTCAACATATTCTAAATGGATGAGTGGGGGCTACATTCTGTTTGGACAGTTCCCATGGAATCTCTAGATCTTCTAATTCTTGCACTGTCAATTGACATTTTCTTGCAACCTTTGCATATGTTCAATAGTTTTGGACGTCTGTTGAAGGCCATCCAGAATGTGTATCCTAACCAACTTTGACGCAAAGAAGTCCATGAGGGCTTTGCGCAAGTCTGCTTCATTGGTGAAGGATTTCCCATGAAGATGATTATCCAGGAAGTGGAAGAGGTGGTAATTGGATGGCGCAAGGTCAGGTGAATAAGGTGGATGGCACAAAGTCTCCCACCCAAGTTGCTGTATGGTATCCCTGACCACTTGCGCGACATACGGCCTGGCGTTGTCATGGAAGAAAAGCACACCTTTGTGATTCACCAGTGCTGGCTCCTTCTGGTGCAATCAATGCCTGTTGCACACATTTCAACTGCTGCGAGTATAGGTCTCCAGTGACCGTTTGGCCCGTTGGTAGCAGTTCATAATGAACCACTTGATGACCTGTCCACCAGACACAACGCATAATCTTGTGTGGGTGCATAGGCAATCTTGCGGTGTGAAAGACAGCATCTTGTGGAGACAACCAATGTCTGGAATGCTTGGGAGTTTCATACAGAACCCACTTTTCATCACTGGTAAGCACTTGATTGAATAAGAATGTGGTACGGTGGCAAGAAAGCAGCAATACACAGGCTGCCACTCGTTGTCCCTTGTGGACCTCCGACAGCATTTGTGGAACCCACTTGCTCAGTTTGTACGTCTTACCTAGGTGGTGCAGGTGAAGTCTGTTTCATCAGAAACGTTGAACTGTCTTGCAAGTTCACCACACGTTAGACTACTGTCCTCTTCAATGGCCACCTTCAGGACTCCGTCATTCAAGACCTGTGGTCGTCCACTGTGAGGCTCATCATAGAGAGACAAATCTCCCGACTTGAATTTTCGAAACCAATGCCTTGTAGTACATTCATCCATAGCACTATCCCCAAATGCTTGACATATACGGCGACTTGATGCAGCTGCTGATAAACCCACTTTGAAGTCATAAAGCAAACAGCCCTGAACGAGATCTTTAGACACTTCCATCCTTCTCACAGCTGTCCAGCTTATAACTGATGGCCGGGCATGGTGTCCATGTTTTTTATAACGTCTGATGTTCCTACTTCCGGATGTCCGAATTTGAAAACAATTGCTACACGCATTTCGTATATATTTCAACTTCATTCAATGACTAATCAAAAAACAGACAGAACTTTTTTGGTTACCTTGTAGTATTCGGACACAGTGGAAGCAATGCAGATCCTCCCCGGTTGGCAACAGGTGTGAAGGCCTAATATGCTATAAATATGGTGGTCCCAACCATTTTTATACGGAGTGCCAAAGTCTTAACTGGTAAGAAGAGCCTGTATCAATGATCACGGGGAACCCTGTGGTGCTATTGCTTTAATGGGCTGGGCCACATGTTGTGCAACTGTTTGGGAAATGTATCTAGG